TACAACGGCGCTGCAACGAGAAATGCCACAATCAGCTAAAGTCCACCAAGCCCGACCGCTCCTTTATGGCGGCCAGATAAGTTTCCCTGAGGTCGGTGGCGTGGAAATCAGGCATCAATTGATATTAGAGTCCCAGAATGTTATCATACTAATCCCACATGTGTCTCGTTTTACGCTTTGGTCTGCTAATTAAGCTAGAGATCACAGAAGTAGACCCTTATAGTGTTCAGTATGCGCAGCTCGATCATAACTCCGATAATGAGAAAACGGAATATACCCATATCAGATCTCCTGAGATCCCGAAAATCATGTTAAATTTGGGGATGAAATTGAGATCGTTGCCGCCACAGAAAAACATTCATTAACGGGAATTTTCGCTTCTGCCTTTGAACCAAAAAGCTTTAATCTGTGAAATCCAGGAAAGCGTTCATACTTTGCGGCAGTGTCTTGAGCGACTGGAAAAGCATAGGTATCAATTATCAGTTATGGTCAAAATGCTGATGATCGAAACGCTGACGCAAAGTATCAACGCACTCCAACAACTGAATGACTTAAAGCATAAATACCCTAACTAGTCTCCTATTAAATATGTAAAGCTCGAACCCTAACATCTAGGTTCACTACAATCTCATGACTGTCTTACTTGCCTCGGTATATTTGTTCAACTTTTAGTAATTTCAAGAGAAAATGTAACTTTTGGCTTTTTTATACAACCACATTACAGTTACTGGCTCTGCTCGGTATCTTTCTCAGATGCTCGAAATATGAGTTCTGCTTTAATCCTACGATTGGGCAACAGCACAGTGACCCGCAGAATTTCATTTTCATGTATCGCTAGCTATCCACGGGTGTTTCTTAGAGGATCGTCTGATCACAGGTATGTTGCTTTGCTTTCTTCTTCGAAATCACTTGTACCTCTTGCACCTAGCGGTGGGATCGCAATCAGCCGAAAACTTGGGCCATATTGTATGTATCTAACACCGCAAAGTAGAACTTCGTAAGGCACAGGATAAGTAAACACCTGCAGTGACATGCCGAGATCGCAAGAAATGCTTATAACTTTGGTCTTGCTGCATGTACCGGAATGCAAGCTTACTATTGCAGGTGGTCATGTGCCGTAAGAGGTTTCGCCGGATAAGGAGTAACATAACAAAAAAACAGAGAGCAGACGAGTCTTCAAATCAGTTCTTGAAGAGGTGCTAATAAAGGAGAAGCGAAAACCAACAACCTTCACTGGGAAGGCATGTTTTAAAACTTATTTTCACTATGTGATGTATGAATGGCGTTTTAATGTATCCATATATTGTGACTTTCGTTTTTTACGTCAAAAAGATTCAAGAATGTGGAAGCTTAATGTTCTCCTCTTGAAATGATTTTCCTGCACTTTTCGGTTAGGCAACGTATAAAGACTTGTTCGCTGCGGACGCTGGGGCGTGTAAGGGGAGCAGGGTTTAGCGCGGCGGCATCCACTTTTGCAGCAATCGCGATTTGACGCATGAAGTTCGATACTTGTTAGAAGACGGCTGCCAGCTGCGCCATATCGCTGGCCGCCATGTCCAACTTGACCACGCCAATCCGCAAGGCGAACGAGGCTTGGCACGCGTATCTTTTTACTAAACATGGAACAATCCTCCTATCGCTTGATAGCTACCGCTGCTTTGGTGGCGCCGCAGCGCCCTCTTACTTTAGCGCGATTCAAAAACAGGGCACATCTATTTGGGGAATCCCACACAGAGGGACGTATTTGGTCGCCAGGAGAGTGGGTCGTATTTTGGGCTGAGAAAAATTTATTTTGATAGTTGATTTTTCTCGCTTCACGGATGTTGTAAAAAAAAGGGGGGGGGTCGTATTTACTTTCCCGCCTTTCTAAGGATGAGGGGAGCGTGGGTGACTTTTCGTGACTTTTCCTGTTTTATGCGTACTTTACCCCTCCCCCCTCAACGGCGCTCGATTCGATGAGCGACAGAGGGGGTGGTACCAACATCCAATAAAGGGGGAGGGGTCGTATGGAGTCGACTGAAATCCTCTTATACAATCACTGGGCGCGGCCCGCCGAAATAACACCCGGAATTCCTCTCCCAGGGGACCTTGTTAAGCCGGACGGGAGCCTATCCGAGCTTCGGTACCTCACATCCGTCGCATTTCGCCCTACTGAACAGATGGAACCAATTTTGTACCTCATACTGCATGGGTTTTTCAGTAAAAATTTTCTTATATAGCATTCTTTTCGTCTTATTACCACTACTATCGTGATGTTACTTTCATAGAGTGTTCTTCAGCTTTTAGGTTGCAGAAAAAGCGTCCAATACCTTCTTATATACGGCAGTTGCAGCTGCCATTGGCATGCTAGGTGTTTTTGTTTATCTTTTGGCTGGTGAATTTTTTGCAGAGGATAGCCCTCAAAAGATATACAGTAGGTAGAGTAAGTTAACTTTATCAGTCGTCATACACTAGCAGATGTGCACGAAATTTTAGTGCACTTTCCTTAGTGAGAGAAGATGGCAGGTGCCAAGACCTTTTTGGACCCACTATTGCTGGTTTTGGAGAGGAAACATCACGTGGTCGGCGCCGTCACGTCGCTCATCATAAATACGAAAAAGATGGGAGACAACGAATCCGTGTTCTTTTTCATGTGAAGGTGTGATTTTCGTTGAGAATACAGTATTGCGGATGTAGTTCAGAACATCCTTGCGCGGCAACGTGCGCAAACGAGCAAATCATTGGGCTCTACTAACCTTGGAGGGGCACACCTGTGAGAGCGCGTTCAGGCTTCGCGATCTCGCGATTGGAATCACTGGCGAAGTCTGAACGCGCTTTAGCTTTTCAGTGTGTTGGTCCCTTGTCCTTCCTTTTTCTTTCGTCTTTTCGCAGTCGTCTCATCCTGCAAGTCCTGTTTCTGTCAAGCTTGTTGACCCCTGTCGGCCTTGGCGAAATGGTACTAGCGTCACTGGTACGCATTTCTCCCATTTTTCTCCCAAATCTCGGCTAGTCACTTTGACATTTTTGACAGGAGTGTACACGGTACTTGGCGGGTGATAAGAAACAGGATTTTGACAAATCACGTGTGTACATTTTAGAGGATCTGGTATACTAGCCGACGCTTACAGGTGTGCACCTTCAAGGTTATTAGCACCGATTATTCTCAAGCTGATCGAATTGACACGCTTTAGCGTTTACACTTTGAAACAACCACGGAATCCTCATGTGAATTCCGGCAGGCAGCGTTCAGACTTCGCGAAGACGTGCGTCAATGCGCTGTAACGCGCGATAACGCGCTGCAATGCGATGTAATGCTCGTCGAAGAGCTACAGTTACAACAGCGCTCCAAAGCTATAGACGCAAAGACAGCCGCAGACGGCCACTCCCGATGAATGCGTGACAAGGCAACACCTACCACCATCCTGTTCCCCACAACCTCTTGAAACAGCGCCGGCGCCCGTCGAATCGATCGCCAGCTGTCTGCGGCTGCGTTCGCCTCTATAGCTTCGGAGCGCTGTGCAATTGCAGCGTTGCAGCACGCTACAGCGCGTTACAGCGCGTCGACACGTATCATCGCGAATATGATCGCTGCTGAAGTTCACATCCCTTTCTCGCCGCCCTCGCCACGGTTGAGATATCCTGAACTGCAAATCGATTTCTCGATTACCCATTGCAAATAACGCTTTCTGCAGGGCGAACGCGATGAAGGTATTGCGCAAGCGGAGATGGAACAGCGAGATGGTGAATGGCAGTGGCGATTCCTCTATGTAGAAACTAAAAGAAGGCCTAAAACCACGCATGTGTTGATCGATAATCGATGATGTGCTGCTGGCTGCCTGTAGATAAACAGTAGAAAATTGAATAGGAGTTTAAAATTGAGGTATTTTCTCACCGGTAACGATTACTCGCATGCCGAATATTCGAGAGTAAGGTAACAACATTGTACACGCCGGTACTTACATTGTCATTGTTTTATTTTCTGAATTTTGTTGAAGTGAGAGTTTAACTTAGTTTTCGTGTTCGTGACCATTTTCGGTTCATCCACAGACGATTCATCCAGTGTTCAGAACATTGTTGCTTTTCCCAGAGGCTTCGTCTTTTTGAAGGCTTTTTAGATGGAAGATGACGGGTTTAAGTTAGTTAGACGCCGAAGGCAATATTCACGGTTGAAAAAAGCCACTCAAAAATCAGTTGACAGGATAGAAGGTACTGTGGACGACATCCAGGCGGCAGTGGAGAAAGCTGATGCGCTAGTTGAAGAAAGTGGCCTCAGGTTAGCGACACTCAGTTTTATTATTTTTCCTTTTCTTTATCTTGTGTAGCCAGAGCCGAGATGGAATGTGATGAATAGCGCAGATTTAGCATGGGTCCGTAGCCTATTTAGAGCGAGAAAACGACATTTTACACAAAAACAACAGCGAAGCAACTTCAAGGCGCGCTCCGCCTTCATTTGATGTTGAGGTACCTTCGTTGGGCATGGTAGTACTACGTGCAAGCGGGAGGATGTACCATTTTCACAGCTAAGGGACGCTCAAGGAAAGCGGCGCCCGCTCGCGATGGGACCACGGCTCCGCCCACTAGCCACGGCAACGCCCAACTTTCATGGTTGAAGGCTGGGTGGTGCGGTTGTTCCACTACTAACTCTCTCCATTTCGAACAGTAAATGTGAGGTGATAAGGAGAAAGAGCTGGCATCCACGCGTGAAAATCCTTCGACCACGCCTTTTTCGCCTTATGCAAGTACAGAAGCGATTCGGCATAGGGTTCTATAGGGCGTTCCGGGAGCAACGAGGGGTTTTCAGTGCTTTTTTATTCACTTTTGTTATTTGCCACTTGGTCATTAGTAGTTGAGCCGCACAAATCACCGTTTTTGGGCGAAAGGGCGTGCCTTCAAATTGTATCATTGTCGTGATGTCGCTTATATGCCGTTCATTCTTTAACTGGTAACGTGCTGGATCGCGTACCTGCGCCATTTGAAGACCCTCCTATTTTCTCAATTAATATTCCCAAGGAGACCGTTGCTCCTACTTTCTCAATTAATATTCCCTAGAGGACCGTTTGTTTTAGTTCATGGATCATCGACAATGTTCGATTATTTCTCGGGAAGCGATGTATCTCCCGGGTGTACTTGATAGGAAATGGTCATCTTGATGCGCCATGGGAACCTGGCGCTCATCAGTTTGCTCTTATTCAAAAAATATGTTCTGCCTTCAACGCTGAAATGGTTTTTCAGGTAGAATTCTCTCCTGTTTCTATTTCATTATATTAACTAGGCTTCACTGACTAAACATTTTGCGTGCTGTTTCAGGAGCCTTGCATCAGCAATGCTGAGCGAGAATGGTTGAGTCATCAAGAAGGAATTGCTTTCCGCGATCAACCTGATGTTAGCTTTGATGTAACTGGTGGTGATCATAATTGCATAGGAATAGTAGTATTACTCCATGGTCTACATGAACTTTTGAATGAATTTCTCGCCTTTAATTGGCGGTTTAATTTACACAACATTTTGTTCTTATGTAATGATTATAGGGATATTGATCTCATAGGTGGAAGTGTTGAAGCTAATTCTAAATTTCCTGCTCTCAACATGTTTCGCAAGCATGCGAAGTTTGTTTACTTCCCCGAATATAGTCCTAACCCGTCTTTCTTTCTCAATTCGTCGTTAGCATATTTTCCAGCGGGTACTTCACTGCCAGAACTGCCCACTGCTGATCGATGACCTCGGCTGTACTTTTGTTGTTGTTATTGTTGTTGTAGATATTATTTGTTAAAGGTTCAAACAAAATAGTTGTTCAGTTTGTTTGATGTTTACATCAAAGCACTATCTAATTTGCCAGTTTGTCATGTTGTCGGCTACTGTACAATTGTCACATTGTCTGCTTAATTAATGCATGTATTTAGAGTGCGATAGATGGGCTCTAGATCATGAAGACTCTGTTAGCCGATCTAGCTTTACTGCGAGTGTCCACTCAAGGATCACAGGTAATAGCGCTTACTCGTCATCCTTTTGAAAGGTGGTCTCATGTCGGAGCATGGTTGTATAGGTTGCAGGGCACGTCGTACCAGGCTCTCATTGGGTGGGGGAAGGGGGGGGGGGGGTGTATTTGCTCGTCGCTTTGAGAGGAGTGTCGTATCTGGGCCCTTGAAAAAGACAGTTCAGATTTTTTTCTAAATGCGGCGCTGCGGAACTGCAATACAACTGATGTTTTTGGTAGCTGAAATTAGTAGTTGCTTGTTGGGACTCCCCAACCCCCACCAATCCGCTCGATTTCAAAGTTTTGGGAAAAATAGATAATCTCGCTGGAAGTGATATTAGTCGGGAATTTTTAGGAGGATGGTAGTTATGTGATATCAGGAAGGGAAAGGGGAGTCGTACCAGAAGAGGAAATTGGGGAGATAGCTTTTTGCAAAAATTTTCCCCAAACGGCAGCCGTGGTAGGTCAGTCCGGGCGCAATTTTTCCACCAGAGATGCTATCCTTAGCCCAATACAACCTGATGGGAAACCTGATCTGGCTACGTTCCAAGCCATGCCCCCGTCGATGACCTATCGTTTGCAGGAATCATGACTGTAGATTTGCCGACGGACTGAGGGAGGTAGAATTTTCTCAAATGGATCGTTGGTTGAAACCGTGGTTACACAATTGCTAGGTTAACAGCAAATTCTGAAGGGCACTATTGTACATCCAATAAGACATCATTTGTTACTGTCAAGACGTTCGCATCGCTACCATGCAATTATAGATCGTGGCAAAGCGCTTTCTACCGGCAAGAGGTACAAAACCCTTGCCTCGCTACCTGTGGGACCTAGAAGATTTAAAGAAGAAGAGTGGAGGGCAGTACACTCATGACCGCTGTCACATATAAAACGGTAAGCTGCCTATCATATAGCATCTGGATACCTGAAAGTTCGTTTTTATGGCTTTGTGGGCGTCATCCTGAAACAGGACGTAAGATAAATCAGCATATAGGTGGTGGAGTCAAGTTTGATTACTACATGATTGACTACCACAGCAGGTATGGAACAAGTTTATGCTTTTCGCTGAATTCTGCACTATTCGTTGGTGCCGAGAGTTCTTCTGCTTTTGGCTGCCTTTTGATGGAAATCGGGCTCATACGGGGTCAGATTCACCAATTTGGTATGGGGGAGGCGGGAGGGTGAAATTACAAGGGAGGTCTTTCAGGTCGTGGCGCGCTTTTTGGAAATGGTTTGTTGCTTGTTGTAGGGGTCCATACAAGGATCACAAAAATGGGTTTCATTTTTGCTATGCGTTTCTGGGGAGGTCAAAAACTGAGTGAAAAGAATTTGACAAGAATGGGCGATTTTAACTATCTTAATGGGCTCCGTTCTGATTGTAACTTCGAGCATGCATAGTTTATGAGGTGCTCGTTAATTAGGCTTCGAAAATAGTTTCAAATAAAGTCAAAATGTAAGTATCATGTAGTAACACACTTGGCATGCACCAGTGATGTTTTTGTCAGCGGTGACAGTGAGCATGAGGGGACCGCTGACAAAAACATCACTGTTGCGTCGGTGCATGCCAAGTGTGTTACTACATGATACTTACATTTTGACTTTATTTGAAACTATTTTCGAAGCCTAATTAACGAGCACCTCATAAACTATGCATGCTCGAAGTTACAATCAGAACGGAGCCCATTAAGATAGTTAAAATCGCCCATTCTTGTCAAATTCTTTTCACTCAGTTTTTGACCTCCCAGAAACGCATAGCAAAAATGAAACCCATTTTTGTGATCCTTGTATGGACCCCTACAACAAGCAACAAACCATTTCCAAAAAGCGCGCCACGACCTGAAAGACCTCCCTTGTTAGTTATTTCCTGTCAAAGTGCCTAGTCATTTTGTGGAGACGTGTGAAGTTTTGTAAAGTACAAGGAGTCGCCCTAAAATCAGTAATGGACCATGCTGTGTGCTCTAGAGCTTTAGAGCTGTCTTCTGAAAAGTAGTACAGAAATCTGCGAAAGGCCTTGATTACTATTCCTGAACGATTTTAACAGTCCAGGAGGATAATAAAGATGTTTAGAGGACCCACGGAACCAGGAAAAACGTATGATGAACGGGTACTGGAAGTCCGTCGTGATCCAAACAGAAGTTCTCATATAGCACTTGTGGCAGGAACAGAAGGAAAACGGTGGATACTGGCTACGGAGAACATGAAGTAAGTCAGGAGAAATTACTTCTTTTGCTCCGACCCTCCGCTTCATACCATCAAAAAAGGCTTGAGCTTGCTATGCTCTACTTGATCTTTCTATTTATCCAAATATATCAAAATATCACAAGAATGCTGAGATGTGGGCAACAGTCCCAACCTTATGAACGACTCGAGCCCATCCTCACGCTTTTTGGGCGAGCGCGCTATCTCTTACGCTTAACGGATATCGCTTTTGCCCGAGATTGAGAGAGCTGTGTTCTCAAGAGTTATGTAGATCTAAACTTTGCGTTAAGGGCTGGTGACATCATTTCAACTACATGCCATATTCCGGAAAATCCTGTCATTGGAGTTGAAGGAAATTCATACCCTGTTGGTTCTCTTGTAGCAGGCACACTAATAAACAGGTCAGTTTGTACGTTGCCATGCTTTCTTGTAACAGAGTTCTGAAATTTTACCGGACTTAGCTGAAACAGGAGTCTCAGATAATTCACTGAATTACCTCATTGTCAGTGAATTTCATTGGTGCACATGCTCTCGGACTTGCACATAAAGATAAAATGAAAAAACCGACGAAGGCTGTACTAGTGCCAAGCGAGAGACAAGGAATCGATGGGCATATTCGTCGAGCAGACCAGAGAACAGCAGTGAGGACGTCTGCAGAACAAGCAAGAAGCCATCGCAGACATCTATCGGACTCGGCCGGGACGTCCACCACCCTTTTGGCGGTGCCACTTTAAAGGCAGTTGGCACGATAATTTGATACTTGGCCTAAAATGCTAGGCGGAGCCCTATATATTGGGAAAAATGGCGAAAAAACGAAGTGAAACGGTCAAAAACTTGCGGAGAAAAGCCTTCGTTCTTAGTGACTCAGAAAGCAATTTCGGACGAGTTTCTCGTAGGCATGTTGCCAATAACCGCTACGGTGGGTACGGCCGTACGTATAGTACTCATATATCAGTGCTGCAGCACCGCAGCCGCTTCATACGAATTCCTTCGCTCAATATTTTACATAGCAAATGAAGCAATGCGAGCATCAGGTACGGTCGTCCATTTGTGTGACGGGCGAGTCGGTACGTTGTAGCTTGATAGGGCCTTATAAGGCGTTACTTCCTTTTGGAGGCGCTACGCAGCACCTGCACAGCGATCGCGCCGAATTCCGTCCTGCCGGTCCAGATGTAATCGGATCCTACTTCCTCTTCGGGGAGATCTATGGAGCGAACTGCCCTTCAGGCAACCTTTCTTGTCTTTACCACCGCTACTCACACTTTCTCACGAAATTGTGATCGCAGGGATTGATTTGCGTAGCGTCCACACCAGACTCCCCCCTATGACACAGCCTAGTAATGTACAAGTGATCGCTGGGCGTCAGCATGCTCCGAGGTGTTGAAACTGGAATCGTCCATAAAAACAGTGAGCTAATTACATTGAGAAGACAATATAGAAGTACTTTTCAGTGTTGAACGGTATCCAACATTGGCTGAGAATCTGGACATTGTATGTTTTCGTTGTAAAAAGCCGGGCTACAGCATGCAACATTGTTTCGACACCAAGCTGAAGACTTCACACGTCATTCGGGTGAGACAAATTTGCTGGCCTGTTGGATATTTATTTTGTTTCTTGTTGCTTTCATCCTACTCATTGAGCTCTTTACCCTTTTGTTCGTTTACTGCCTTCCTATTCTTGATCTTGGGTGCCGGTTGGTAAACTAACTAATGTCGGTGTTGCGAGTGACGTTACCTGCGCTCTGTTGCACCCAGGGCGTCGTCGTGTGATGATCACGGGGGGGGGGCTTCGTAACTTGGTACTGCGACCATGCTTCATTGTTGGGAGAGGGACTGCCGAAGAGAGAAATTTTCCTATTTCACATTGGGTTATATACCCCCCCCCCCGCACCCCGGCGGAAAATTCTTGGCTGAAAAACTGAAAATTTTCCGGGAAAAAATGGAAAAAGTGGTAGGAAGTTGGGAAATCTAGGAAAAAGGTAGGTAGCATGGGGAGGGGGTCGTATTTGAGGATGGAATCAAGGGTGGGTCGTATTTTCCGGAAGTGATCAAAACGCGATGGCGTGCCCTGGTTGCGCCGGGTTAACTACGAAGCACTACAAATTTGTGCACGACTCCTCAGCAACTAAAACCGGCAACCGGAGCTCGTTTTCCAGCCAGGTGCTGTATAACACGCTTTCAAGGGTTGGTGGATGACCACAAGATGAGAAAAAAAGCGAAGAAAAAAGCAGAGATAGGTCAGCGAAATTCAACAAGGAGAACAGGGATTCCGGGAGTTCTGATTATTGAATTTTCTTTCATATAACTACATTTTCTTTTATGTTTTTTTTTCGCTGTCTTGATGAAAGGAGCATACAATTCCATCGATTTATATGCTGAGTGGGCTAGGGGAGGGGATCTATTCAGTTTGTTTCACGATGCCATATATTTTCGGCCCCTTTAATGGTCTTTTGAGCTCAGTTCCGCTCAGGTGGGGGCAACAAGTGTTACTCAACCAAACTTGTACATTGCAGAGACATGTAAATTCCTGGTTCACCACTTTACAAGAGTTTTTGCAGCAGGGCACGTCCGTGCGCTGGGGAATCCTCCAGTAGGGAGTCGTAGTTAGGCGCCAGAGGGAAGTCACTCGTAGTTGGCACGGAAAATTTTTTTAATAGTTGCTTTTTTCTTTTCATGCGCACTACCCCCACCTCCTCTCTCTCCCTTTGTTGGCGGCGCAACCATAGTCCTATGCAGGCGCTCTTTGCGATGGTCGAAACTGCGAGTTGTTTGGTGGCGATCTTCCTCCTCCCTCAAAATTTTGGGGAAAGCCTGGGAATTTTCGGAAATTTTCTTAAGGAGAGGTAGGAAGTTGGGGAAATTCAGGAATGTAGTGAGTAGCATGGAGGAGGAGGGTTGTACCAGGGGAGGAAATTTCAAGAGTGGGATCGTGTTTCGCAAAAATTTTCTCCAACGACAAGAAGTGCCCTGTGTTAATTAACACGAACTAGCAAAAAGAACTAACGAAAGTGCGAAATGCCTCTTCCCTCCCCC